GTGCCGAAAAAAAAAAATATTAAAAATGAAAAATTCATAAATGAATTAAAGGAAGAATATCCCAGAGTTTTTTTCTGAGGGATTGGGTTTATGTACCAAAACGGAAGTCAAATTTGAACTCAAGGAAAATGTGAAACCAATTTTCAAACCTAAGAGAAACGTCCCGTTTTCCTCCTTAGACACAATTAATAAGGAATTGGAAAGACTTGAAAAAATGGGAGGATATCTAAGGTTGAACATTCAGATTGGGCCTCACCCACAGTTTATGTTAAAAAGAAAATGGAAAAATAAGAGTGTCGCAGATTTTTTCAACTGGATTAAATGATTGCCTTAAGAATCACAGTTATCCACTACCTTCACCAGAAGATATTTTTCAAAATTAAATGGTGGGAAGATTTTTTCAAAAAAATCGACCTGTCTGACGATACTTGCAGATTAAAGTGAGTGACGAATGCTCGAAATATTTGTGTATAAATACACATAAAGGTATTTATAAGCTAAATAGGCTGCCTTTCGCTTAAAAAAGTCGCCCCAGCTTTGTTTCAACAGGTGATGGACACTATGCTGGCAGGCCTTGAGTTTGGTACCGCCTATTTAGATGACATTCTAGTCAAAAGTAAAAATGTTCAAGAACATAAAACGACATCAAAAGCGATATTCAAAAGACTAGAAGATTTTGGTTTTAAATTAAGCCACGAGAAGTGTAAATTCTTCATGGAAAGAATTACGTACCGGACAGGTAATAGACAGTGAAGGCAGGAAACCGGACCCACAGAGGGCCGATGCAATTAAAAAACATGCCTGCACCCGACACAGTTATGAAATTACAATCGTTTCTGGGGTTGGCACAATATTATGCAATATACATACCTAAAATGTATGATTTAAGAGCCCCTCAACGAATTGTTAAAAAGACAAAAAATGGTTTTGGTCAAAAGAGTGCAAGACGGCTTTTCAGAAAATAAAAAAAATGCCTACTCTCAGATCTCGCTTTAGCACATTATGATCCTGAGAAAGAGATCATTCTAGCAACTGACGCAAGTTTATACGGAGTGGGTGCTGCACTGCTACAAAATATGAAGATGGTACTACCAAACCTATCGCGACGCGTCAAGGACTCTTCTTCCGGCTGAAAAAATTATAGCCAAATCGAGAAGGAGGCTTTGTCGATTGTGTTCGAGTTAAAAAATACCACCGCTTACATGGTAGATCATTTGTTCTGCAAACGGATCATAAACCGTTACTTTCAATATTTGGAAGTAAAAAGGCATTCCCACGATACAGCTAATCGCTTACGGGCGATGGGGTGTAACCCTGCTTAATTACCATTTTAGGATGGAATACGTCAAATCTAAAGAACATGGGCATGCGGATGGATTGTCAAGGCTGATTCCAAAAAATGAAGAATTGTTAGAAGAGACGGTTATAGCAGCATTAACTGAGGAAAAAGAAATCTCAGGTCTCTTATTGAATACAATCAGGGAATTGCCAGTAACATTGGACAAAATAAAAAAAGCGGAAAAAGATCACTATATTGTGAAATTAAAAAACAGACAAATTGGAACAAAAGACAGAAAAAGGAACTCAGATTTCACCTTTTTTCAATTTGCGACAACACGTTGATGTACGCAGATAGAATTGTCATACCTCAATCTTTACGGACAGATATACTGAAAGAATTTCATACCGGTCATCCTGGAATGTCCTGAATGAAATCACTCATGCGTAGTTACGTATACTGGCCGGGAATGGACAAGGATATCGAAGATTTTGTAAGACTATGTAGAGGTTGTCAATTGGCTGCAAGGGCACCTCCGGTCAAAATGAATCCTTGGCCTAAAACGGATTTGCCGTGGGCACGTCTACATATAGACTATGCTGGACCAATTAATGGACACTATTATTTGATATTGGTGGACTCTTTATCGAAATGGCCTGAAGTAGTCAAGTGCAAGCATCCTACATCTAGGAACACCATCAGTGCATTGGACGAAATTTTCAGTCGTTTCGGGGTCCCCAGAACATTAGTTAGCGACAATGGTACGGCGTTCACAAGTATGGAATTTAAGGATTTCTGTACCGCCTTAGACATTGAACACATAACTACACCGGTGTGCCATCCCAGGTCGAACGAGCAAGCCAAGAAATTTGTCGATACTTTTAAACGTGCTTTACGTAAAAATAGAGGTATAGACACTGAAGAAAGAACTATTCAAAAGTTTTTAGCAATTTATAGGGTAACTCCTAATGAGAACAATAATGCGAAAATGTCACCTGCTGAAATTATGTTCGCAAGAAAAATTAGATCAATTTTCGATAGATTGTTACCCTATCGAAACAAAAAAGTTGCTAAAAAAGACAAAAAAGTCAATATAAAAAAATACACACCAGGAGACAAAGTTTTTTTTAAAAACTTTAAAAGTGGGAAAAGCTTTTGGATGGATGGCATAATCCAGAAAAGGATTGGTAAAGTGGTCTACATGATTAAAAGTAATAAATTTGTGTAAAAGACACATCAATCAGATTAGACCACGATATGGTGAAGAAAGTGAAAAAAAAGCGAAGAAGAAATTCCGATGGAAGTGTTATGCGATGCTTTTAACATGACACTACCCAATAGTGTATTGGAACCTGTCGCATGAACCAGCCTTACGGGCTGGAAAGCGGAAATTATCTTCGCCAAAAAAAAGGATCAAATTGCGACGACTGAAAAGAAGGAGCACACGGCAAAGAAAACCAGTGGAGCGTTTTAGTCCGGATCCAAAAGAAGACGATATTAGAAGCAGAAATTTTTAAAAGGAAGAATTTCAGCTTCGGGGGGAGGTGTTGTGATGAAATAACCTGACTTCCCCATTCACCATAAATGGACGTTCCGGTGGCCGATAAAGTTCGACCACAGTAAACAGTCGAGGGGATCAACAGAGCGACAACAAAGGTCTTCGTTGACTACACCATTGCGGTTAGCTTACTCCTACTCTGTCTCTGTATTTTGACATTCCTACATTCCGATATAAAGTATTATTATTTAAACCACCACTCGGGTTTACTTTGTTATTATATCTTTTTGCGAGATATAACGACTGGCGACGAGATATAACAATATATATATATGAGAGAAAGGGATAGAGAGAGAGATTTTAAGGTATGTTATATTTATGGGGTAAAAGTACTCAATATTTGGGATACAGTATATGTAAATAAGCAGTGTGAACAGAGATCAACACTGAATGACAATAATCTGTTTCATGCTTGAATGCCATCTTCAGGCCTGAAGATGGTGTTCAAGCATGTATCTGTAACTAAAGGGTTGCCCAAAATAGTTGCAGTATAAAGTTCTATGGATGTTGAAGAAAGATAAATGTAACTAAACAGACAACGGCATCAGAAATTAGCTAGCCACCCTAGCAGAGAAGTGTACTTAGAAACAAGCAGTCATTATTATGGGTAATGGGTGATATTTTCACCTGAAGAGAAAGTGAATATTAGGCTACATCTGAGTAAGGAAAGAGATCAGACAAAATAACCCTGGAAAGACGAAATAGTCCAGGAATCTTTTTTAAAAGAATAAAAAAAAAAATTAAAGTTATCAGAGTATAAGAATTAATCCCAAGATATGTTTCATCAGACAAGATGTAAAATGGTGGGCTATGAGAAACAGGTAGCAGGAGAGAAAAGTGTTCCATGATGGACTTCATCATGTGAAGTCCCACCAATATGAAACCAAATAAAAGGGCATTACTTGTCACATAAGAACAAATGATTTATTTTTTTGTTTGTTTTTTTTTACAGCTTATCAAGCCTTTGTGGGTTATTTAAAGCCAAAATATATTTGGGATTGTAAAAAGAATTTTTTTTTTTTTTTTGCAAATGAATATTGCACTAAATTGTACTCCAAATCTATACTTCTAATGTCTCCACCTAAACTTTGAAATTTTTATTATTTATTTTTTCTCCCCACAATAGGAGTAGACAGGTCCACCTATCATCCAGTTCCGACTCCTCCCCAGTTTTTTTTTCTTTTAACAGGAGTAGAGGTTTATTCCTTGTTTCTTGTTTAGGATTAAGCTTCCAGTTATTTCTGAAGTCTTTTACATCTCTTTCACTTCCAGTAGCCCCTTGTGTCTTAGTGGTGTTAATTCTGAATCAATTTTGTCTTAATTAAAAGAATATTATAATAAAACCTGAAATAGCTACCATTCTTATATGGATTTGATTTGATATGTATGTTTATTTAATGGTATATGGGTCATTTAATGCCAAAATTTAATTTTGTGAGGTGCTTTGAAGTAATAAAAATAAAATATATGTTATTCTACCTTCACAATTGAATACATGGTAGATGATACAGGGCTTTTGTGCATATACATGTTTGTGGGGACATTATTACGAGAAAGGATGATAGGTGGGTTTTATGTTTTGTTGAAGTTATATTTTGGAATACAGTTTGATTTTTTTTAATAAAATTTGTCAGATATTATATGGATTAATGTCATGAAAGTTTTTAGGTAATGGTTGGTTGATTTTATTTAGTGGCATATCAACCTCTATGAGTTATTTAATGCTGAAATCTAAATATTTTGAACACAATTTTATGGCTTCAAGTAAATACATTTTAAACGTAACTATTCCTTCAACTACAGATAAAATGTATCATTGTTCATTCTATAAAATTGTATTTTTATGCTTTCATAGCATTTTGTTTCTGTTTTGGCTATTTGCCTATAGCTGAGACCCTAACAGGTATTACAACCCCAGGTCAGGGTAGACTTTGGAACAACAGCAATAAAGAGGTGGTCTGACACTTTTGAAAACCTCCAATCTCCCAATCAGAGGTTTTTCTGCGGGATCACTCTTACATGGAATCTGTATTCAACATCTGTAGGTCTTTTCAAATTAAGGAATTAAATTCTTTTCAACTATTTTTATTTTAAGTAAGAATGAAATGCTAAACTAGATACTTGCACTTATTTTGCTAAGTGTTCTAAACCTGATAAACTCACCTGTGGGTAAGAGATATTTGCACTGGTTGCTTTTCCCTGTGGGCATGTTGCCACAGGTCCTTGCCACAGACGACCAAAAAAGCAGCGATAGACGGCATCATAAAGGCTGACAGAGATTTGGTAACCTTGGGCATTATCAGGCAACTAAAATCAAATAAAAAAAAAAGAAATGATTTTTTTTTTATTTCTAATTATACAAAAAAATAAAAAAGGAGCAAAAATTATATAAAATATTCGAAACATAAAAAGGTTTTCTGTAGAATCACCTTTAGAAATGAGAAAAAAAGAAAAATGTAACAAAATATTGAGATACACACAAATGCAATAAAAACAACTGCAGTAAGGAGTTGAAATAATTTTGAAATAATGATGATAAAAAAAAGAAATAATCAATAACCTAATATCAGTTCATTCATTGAAATACCAATAAACACAATGTCATTTACTGTATTTATATTCTTCAGACTGTAGTCCTCATCTTTAATGTCATATTCACAACATTTCATCTATTGTATGCTCCTGCCTTCCAAAAACATTGTATGTGGAATTAGACCAATGAATCCCAGTGGACTAAATAATAGGTTCAAAATTCCAACAAATATTACCTGAACAAGGCTGGAGTGTATAAGGGCCGAAACACTGTGAATATGACAGTAAAGATTAAGGATAACATTCCAAAAATGTAAATAGTATAAATAGACACTGTCCATAATTTACAAAATCAGAGCCATAACCACTAAATTACAGGCGGTTTTAATATGGTGAGTGAAAAAGCACTGATTTCCCTTAAATCATTAAATATCAAATGGTCCACAAGATTCAAGAGTTGTGCAGAAAGTAGGGAAAATAGTAAAACACAAACACACACCAGACCCCAAACATCAGCAAATATATGAGATCGCATGATGAAAAATTACATTTCATAGTAAAAGGTTAAGCAAGGTACTGAGAAACAGAAAAATTTTGTTAGAAACAAAGAAAAGAATGCTGGATTGCAATGTGATATCCATCCTCTTATATGGCAGTGAATGTTAGACAATCTTCACAAGGATGAGGAAAGAAACTAGAGGCAGCAGAAATGTGGTTCTACAGAAGGATATTGAGAATTCCATTCAGGTAAGCATCATGGAAGTCATAAAGAAAACGTATATTCAAAATGAGGAAGAAGGCAGCTGAAATTCCATAGGCACATAATGAATAAGAAGGGTCTGGAAAACAAACATTGTGGGGCATGATGTCAAGAGAGATAGGAGAAAGCAGCAAGCCACTTACCTGACAAGCTTGTGTGCAGAACAGGTGGGGGTGCTTAGAAAAAGCAGAAAAACTACTAAGAGCCACATGAAATAAAAGGTTGTGGAGAGCCACGATCATCTATATGGTTATGGGATGTGCCCCATAGAAGAACAGACAATTATATAAATTTTCTCCTGTAGTCAGGAATATTTAGTTTCTTAGTGCAAAAATAACTAAAGCAAAGTGCGGAAGTAATGGAGAAAGATAAAATTCGTAGTCAGCAATAAAGAAAGTTAAAACCTGGTTGCCATGTATTTGGTTCGAATGGAGTCAGCATTAAAATACAAACATTTTTTTCTGCTTGTTGAGATGAGGAATTATCAATTTACTTTAATCCAAACTATTGTTATAAATTTGATTTGCTATAGACACAAAAAAAAAGTCTCTGGCCATCTTCAGGTGTTCATTATTTTGGCCCTGCTTATTTTGCGTTCAGTTTCTGCATAAGGTAGTGAAATGGTACATTTTGGTTAAGACAAAAATGAACAGGAAATAGCATCAGAGATGAAAATACAATAAACACATATAAGATATCAGCCAAAATAATGGATACTTGACGATGAGCAGAAAGAACTTAGCCAAAAAGTATCTATAATAATCAAGAACAATAATTTGAATAAATTAAACAAGTATACTATAATGACAGTTTCATTTTCTTGTCAATGCAGTGAATGAAATTGATATATCTGGTTAATAAATCTGTGGCACCTTGCATTATTAGAAATATTCATAGAAATATGATTTAATTTTTTCTTACTCGGTTTACTAAACAGGTTGTTGATTTTTTTTAAAACGGAAAATAATTGAGTTGAAAATAATTCACTAAGATTGTACTTAGATGATCCTAAGGGAAGAAGAGGAAAGAAAAGAAAAAAGAGAAGAAAGAGGAAGAAAAAAAAAAAGAAAGAAAGAGAGTTGATGATGCATGACCCAGTCAATGGTGGAGATAGGAGTCAGAAAGATATCTTGGCCTGCGTGTGGCCGAATTTTTTAAAGACAATTGGAAGAATAGAATTAGAAATAATAAAAAGAAAGAAAGGAAAAGACATGATATCAAAACGGGCCGCTTGATGAAAACCAGATATCGGTCAAAACATCTGACCTACTTTTTATGAAAAGACTCATTATCAATTTGGAGTAAAGGGAAATTTTAAGAACAATGAGAACGAAATCTTAATCAGAGAAAAAGTGTTTTTGGGTTGAGAGGAGGACCGTGGAACTATATACAGATCCTGACCTATTAAGAACTGGAAACCTACGATAATAAAGTGGGAACATTTTCAATGTAGATAATTAAGATTTTCTGACTGTCGGGTCTGACAAAGACGGGAGGTGAAGGGGACGATTGTCTCAGTTCACAGATAGCGCCAATATTCTTCCCTGAAGTCACATCTAATTAGCGGCGGGCTGTTTGACAGAGCCCAGGTGAGAGAAAGCCAAGATTGTCATTTTTCGTACGTGCAGAAAAGGCAAAATTGGATTTTGTTTTTTTTTAAAAACAAGAACGATGTAACCACGCCCGAAAGGAGGAGAAAGGATGCTCGATCAATAACAATTGGTCGGAAACGGTCACGTGATCTGCAGAAAAGAAGAGAAAGAAATGCCCGATCAGGAACCATTGGTCGAAAAACGGTCACCTGACATACGAGAGACTAAGAGAGATGGGTGTGCGCCTCCCCACCAAAGGCACTATGAGGAAGTAGGGGTGAAAATAATAGCGATAATGAGAAGACAGAAATAATGCGACTTTTGAAATTATCGAGAAAACCCTGACGCCGACAGACCCACCCCAGTTTGTTGCGGCGTCAATAAAAGCAGGACCCCAGTCGACAGAAATCAGTTGGAGTTGAGAGTTGCAGCTGGACCGCTGGCAGGATAGAGCCTGAACGCTGGCATCAGGCCCGATTCACTCGCCCCTTTGCGCGGGCAAGAGAATCCTCAGACAAGAAATCCTTCCAGCCCAAATCGAAGAAGAAGATTGCTCGCAAGCCTCAGAGAAGTTGCAGCCAAGTCGAAGAAGAAGAAGATTGCTCGAAAGCCGCAGAGAAGTTACAGCCAAGTTGAAGATAAGAAGAAGAGCTGCAGGCCAGACAGGCCGAAGAATTGCAGGCAGACAAGAAGAAGAATTGCAGGCCAGACAGACGCCAAGAGTTGTGGCAGAGTTACGGCAGAGTTCAGCCCCGGACGGCAGCGAAGAGATCACCTCGGACGACAGAGAGTTGCGGCTGAGTTGCGGCAAGAGATCCTTCCAGCCCAAGTCGAAGACAAGAGAACTTCCAGCCTAAGTCGACGAAGAAGAAGAAATACAACTCAAGTCGAAGAGAAGAATCAACTGCGAATGATCGATAGAAATTAGCCCCAGTGTCGAACCAAACCACATCCCGACATACACAATTCTAAAGAGTAGGCAATTCGAAATCTTTTAGGTTGTGTGATAGAAGCTTGGTGCCATAGTCCACAGAGCGGGTCGGGAATTGAGAACAATTTTGTTTTTATGTAACGGACATTAAGATATAAAAGGTTGTTACCCTTTTTTTTCATCAGCAATCTTTTGTCTCGTGAGTTTATTTTCTTTTTTATTTGTGTTTTGCCACCCCGTCGGACTCAACTTGTATCGGCCCAATCCCTGCTGGTCCCGTCTGTCTAAGATCTAAACACAGCGTGGGTAGACAGACCGGAGATCGGTACAGTTGCTTTAGTGACCAGGTATTGGAAGCGAGTTGGGAAAGGCGAGGTTGGTGATCATCCAACCAAGGGGTTGGAGCGGCACGCTTGGAACCAGGAGGAGCGACCAGGAGGAGCGACGTCACAGTTGGCGCCAAAAAGGGATTCGACCCTGGGCCAGGTGTGTAACCGTCTCATGTGGTGCCGTGACCAACGGATCAACCCTGAGACAACCACGTCACAATCCTATAAAGTTTAAATTAACAGCAAGTTCCTTATACAGTCCAAAGAATTATTTTAACAGTTGTCAAAACTGATAATTACAAAGAATTAAAAGCAAATTTTATGTGAATATGTAAAATTCTGATCATATTCAACAAAGAAATTAAATTCGTATAAATAGTAAAAACTCACAGAAAATAATTTTATTTTAGGAAATGGATAAATGTATGTTAAAAAGAATTTGGATCTGTGACACTCCTTATTTTGATGTGACCCTTCTCATTCCCTGACTTTGTTGTATTTGCACCAAATGCTCCAAAATTGTCCATGCCATGCACATGAAGATTTGCTAGGGCTAGTGAGGCTAATCTACTGAACTAAAACAACCTATCACTGCACTATTTTTCATGCTAATCGAAGCAGCACCCTGTCCACTAGTGAGCTTTACTCTCTTTTTTTTTTCTAGCCAAGATACATTTTGCATTGATGGCTTAATCCCATTCTCTCACAGTGAGTCAGCCTTATTCTCCCTTGTTCTCTAAGCTTACATCGGATTGCATGCCTTAACATGTGAAACTATAAAAAAGTCAAGTTTTGAATACAGTCTTAATTTAGTGTCAGGCTAGTCTTGCTTTTGGTGGGTAAGGTGTTATATATCCTCAGAGGGTAGTTCAATTGTACAACTCTTCAAAGTAAAAAATTTGGCATCAACCTTTCAATAGCAAAAAATAGCAATCTAATCCTTTAATATCACTTGACTAAAGACTTTTCTGAGAGAAAGAAAAAAAAAATTCAACTGGTTATTCCTTCAAAGCATAAATTGACCAGGATTTGTCTGGATATCAACACTACAGCTCTTAATTCTTCTAACTTGCAAATTAAATTTGAACCCAGTATTTTTTTCTTAAACCTGTTAATCAACTCTCAATAGCTGGAATGAGTTGAAACAAACTGTGCCAGTAAAC